AAAAATAATTATAAAATTGCTGACGTATTCATCATGGATACCAACGGCTACAATGAAAAATTAGAATGCCTCTTAAATGACGATAGTATGGCATCCTTCTGTCTCCAGATACCCTGGATGTACATCTGAGGAGTTATGCCCTCTCTTGGGTGCAAGCCTGCGCAGGGTTTTATTTTTTATGCGAGATCGGCAGCTGCCCATACAGCACGTCTCCCTACAGCACGCCATGTTGTCCAAGGAAAAAACAGAGGGCTATACAGCTGGACGCTAGCGTCGTCGCAGGGCTTGCCAGAACGGAATTGAATATGACATCGGACTGTCACAAAGACTCCAGTTCCGTATTTGAATTTAGAGTTATCTTTCTCCTAGGCTGGTCGCCAAACATGACTACGGTGCCCAAATTGCCCTACTATTTTCCCACAGTTGGAGGTTTTTGAAATCAGAGTTTTTCCTTCTCCAAGACCAGTTGCTACCCAAGACTATAGAACACAGTCTGTCATAAACAATAAAAAGACTTGCATAAAAGCCAACGAATAAACATTAAACGTCCAGACACACAAGGGTACGTCGATGTGGTATAATGGTTAGAAAGCTTGTCTCGGTAGAGCAATTACGACTAAGTAGTGAGTTCGATCCTCACTGGGTGGCCCAAACATTTGTGCCACATCCAGTCTAAGCTTAGAAAATCATTATTGGCACTTCGATGTGATGTAATGGTGAGTAAGTTTGTCTCGCTCGCTCAGTTACGACTGAATAGTGAGTTCGATCCTCAGAGAGTGCTCCATACTTTCGGTCTTTTCGCCTCATCTAAGCGTAGCTTAGAAAATCGCCATACAATCATACAAAAATTCGGTAAAACAGTCATGAAATTATTAAAAAATTAAATAAATCTAGCACTTGAGTAATAGTATAGATTACTCACACTATACGTCTTATTCAAAACTCCCGAACACAACATATCTATCTCTCTATCTATCTCAATCTAGTCATATGTATCTATCTATCTATCTATCTATCTATCTATCTATCTTTACCATTGGATAATAAACATGAGACTTGGAAATCCATTCCATTGTCCAGAAAAAAAGTTGTTTGTCTTCCGTTTTTTTTTTCCTCGTTAACAGCGTAGGGTGCATTGAATATTGGCAAAGTTACTCACTCGGTTGGGGTCTGGTTTGCTGATATTTCCTGCAAAACGTTTTCTTATGATGGTACTGTTTCCTATGGAGACAGCACAATATTTTTTTATCCCGCCAAACATCCAAGTAAAGAACTTGGCACAATCAATAGATTTCGTTCTTAAAGAGAAATAATTCACTTTAGCGTTCTTTTCAATGTCCACTATAAAGAAACTTCCAGTAACTTATGTTTTGGCATGGATTGCTATGAAAAAGAAAGTTTTTTTTTTTTTTTTGCTTTTTCACGATATTGGTTATCTCTCAATAATGACAATGGAATAACAGATTTTTTTAAAAATAATATTTCACTCCAAAGAAGGCAATAAAGACTCTAAGACGCAAGGGGTTACAGAGTGTGGGAGAATATGAGAAAAAGAAAATATTATTAAATAGAAAGTATAATAAAAGAACAAATATTATGGAGGCAGGAGATAACGATTGACATTGCATTTAAATTTTTGAAAATCAAAGTTGACTGGAAAGCAAGAAGCCAGAAGAGAATCCAACAAGCGAGAAGTGTTATAGAAGAAACTGTTAGCATAGAACTTACGGTCGTACCTTGCCATTTCAACTGTAAAATGATGAGACGTATCTGCCAATCTAGTACTGCGCTTAAATTCATAAAGTCTACGTACCATAGAGGAAAGTTCATCAGAACAAATGCCATGAACATACTTATCAGATTAAGAAACTGTTAGAATAGAACTTATGGTTACATTTTGCCATTTCATGTGTAAAATGATGAGACCTAGCTGCCAATCTAGTTCTTTTCTATTTACGTGCCCTCTACTTTCAGGGCATAGGCAATCATGACTCATCACTTCCCCCTATCCCTTTTTGTAGCTCTCAATACGTTGCGTCCCTCTGCCACCTCCCCCAAACCACGTTCTGTCATCTACTTGCTTAAGCCCGCTTGGTGTTTCATGCGTTGCTTTCCCTAGTCTCTCTTTCCTTCTATTCGACCTGTGAGTATCAGATTTTCCAGGCTGTCCTTTCTCATTACTCAGAAACTTCAGCTACCTCTTCCTGATGTTAAGTATAAGCTTCCTTCTTTGCATCCACTCCAAGACCTCATCGTTGCTCACACGCTCAGTCCATTATATGCTGATTAGTAATTTTTTCCATTCCTATTCTCACGAGGCCCGGTGCTCCAATTACTATTGGTACAGTCTTAGTCTTCATTCTCCACATCCTGTTAATCCTGATCCCCAGGTCCTTGTATGTGGGCAATTTCTAGATAATTTTCATGGTGGTGTTTCTCTCAGATGATATTGCTATGTCAATAAACATACATGAATTCCTAGTTTTTTTTATGATAATATCAGGTCTGTTGTCTGTTATTTCGCTGTCAGTTTGAATTGGCGTATCTCAGAGGATAGTTATTTTGGGTAACTGTGTCTGGTTGGTGCTCATACCATCTCTCAGTGGTTTCGATTTTGTGCTTCTTGCATATTTCCCGGTGCTCATATGTCACAACCTTGTTATGTCTGCGAGTATATTCATTTTTTTTTTGCTAGTTCTGGACATCCTGAGATAATATGGCCTGCGGTTTCATCATATTTTCCGCACAGACTGCATTTCGGTTTAGTTCCATCGTTGATTATGTGACAGTGATAAGATCTGGCTAAGAGGCTTTGGTTCTGAGCTGCAATAATTAGGCCTTCTGTCTCAGCTTACAGCCCGGTGCTCCTCAGCCACTGATGTATTTTTCTGTTGGTCCACATCTGTTGTTGTTGATTTTAAGTTTTTCCCATGCAACGCTTGTCCTCACAATTTTTTTTAAATTTTATTTGGCCTGGTTGTTTTGCTTTCTGTTTTACTCATTTGGCGTAGTGGTATTCGCTTTGTTTTTTTTTTTTGCTGGTAGGATTTAAGTTACATTATGTTGTTTCTTGAAGAGTACAGCTTCATTGCTGATGCAGTGTTTTTGGTGTTTTACTATTTATAAGAGAGGGTCATTGGTTTTTGTGGGGTATGTTTCCAAACAGATTGTTTTAGTTTTTAGAGTTATTTCAAGTTGGATTAGACCTAGATGCAGGAAGAGAAAGTACCTTGAGCCTGAAATGAAGATACAAGACGTTCAGGAAGAGAAAGTACCTTGAGTCTGAAATGAATGCACAAGCCCTGCAAGAAGGGAGATTACCTCAAGCCTGAAATGAATGTACAAGACCTTCAGGAAGAGTAAGTGCCTCGAGTCTGAAATGATGTCGCAAATTAGTTTTTAAAAGTCTTACAACCTTCAGTTTTTAGGCGATTCGTTTTTAGGCGAAATTCATATCAGATATCGTCACAGACAAAGTCTAAGTAACGTGCATTATTTTGCCTTGTTTTTTTAGTCTTCACCTTCGTCTATTCGCTTCTGTAGGCTCAGGGAAAATACATAAAGCAGTATAGCGAAGAAAACGGCGAATTACCTCGTCAAAGCAAAAGAGAGCGGGCCGCATTTATTCTACGACGGGAAATGTGTTGAAAAAGAAAGTTACTTACAGAAAAAAAAAGGCAAGCATTTTGTATGATAGTTATTAATTGCTTCAATTGAATCAATTGCGGCACAAGGCCAATGGGGAAGTGGGATCAACACTTTCATTCTAGACCTAGCTAATCCGATTCACGACCCATGCATTCTTTTACAATTTGCTCATTCGCAACAAAAATTTATCCGTTGTCTTCCAATACTACATATACCACAAATTTTTAGGGAAAAAAAATGACATAAAAATTTGGATTAGCCCTCACCCTAGTAGGATACAAACACTTTTTTTTATTTCTGTCTAGGATATCAGTTTTTTAACTTGTCTCGAATGACAATCTCCGACAAGGATAAGGTTTTTCTTCTTCACCCGTTCTATTTTCTGTCCACATGATTTTAGGTAGATTTTAAGATTTCCAGGAATGAGCAGACTTATTTAACCAATTGACTGATACTTTAAAGGAACTTTATTTTTTTAGCATGAACACCGTTATTAGTCCATCCAACAGGGACTACGTAACTGTATCAGCCACAATCCAGATTTCGTCTATTCTCTCGGCACATATATTTAAGGTTTCTAAGTCTGTTTGTTGTTTTTTTATACGGTATATCAACCTCAATGTGTTATTTAATTCCGACAAGATTTTCATTGCTGGTAATAATTTTTTTTCCAAAAATGTTTTGCTGGTAATATTTATTTCTTCAAAAATATACCGCTGGTAATAATGAGATTTTTGTAGTGGAAATTTATCAGGAACAAATGAAATGTATTTTCTTCTTGCTAATAATTGCTATATACGAGATCTGTTTGAAAATTAATGGGACTAGGCATAGTGTATACGTACCAAAGACGGATGAGCGTATTGTGCTATCATCTAACATGATATATTGGGAGTATCTAACTGTAATTGTAGCTTTCTGCGACCATTACATTTAAAGGAACGTTATTTTTTTTTTTTTTTTTAACTAGAACATCGTTATTTGTCCATCCAACCGGGACACTATGTAACCGTATCAGCCACAATCCAGGCTGGATTTTGTTTCGTTTCCTTTTCCTGTGGAACGCCCAAACTGAACTTCTAAGCGAAACAAATTTAACTGAATGATTTGTTTTTTATGGTTTATCGACCCTTTGCAGTTTATTTAAAGCCAGGAAATATTAAGATGATTTGCTGATACAACCTTTACTAATGAACCTAGAGCTGAGGGAAGGAGAGGTGGATTCATGTCTTTTCCCAAGAATATTTACGCGTGATTGAATATAATGAAGCCAATTGGAATTGGAACTCGGCTCTCCAGATTCAAATTCCGATCAGTTATTCATTGCACCACCCGCACATCCAAGCTTAAATCATCTGGTATTCCCAAGAGGTTACCCGTCTAGGTGCTGACGGACTACAACGTTGCTTAACTTCGGTGATCTATACGAGAACCGGTGTTTCAGAGTGATATGGCCGTAAATAAACAACTTTAACAACAACAAAAAAAAACTTATTTATTTTATATTTTTTCCCATCGAATTTACCCAAGCAATGCAGTAAAGCCACTAAATGACAAGTAAGTCATGATCTTTTTTCTTGTTATTGTTCGTGTAACGTCAAGTTTTAGGATTTTACATGTATGAGTTTGTAAAACCCTTTCATAATAATTGTTCGGATGAGCTCTTTGGTACCTTTTTTTAATTGTTATTTTATTCCGTTCCCTAACAGACAATGAATTGTACATATGGGTACTAGTCAGGACTTTCATAGGGACAATGAGGTATTGTGGTGAATGTAGTAAGCAAGATAGGTAAGAATGTGTTGTTTTGGTGTTAGGAATATCGTGGTATGTTTGGGTCAGTGCTTGTGTGTAGCTAAGTTTAATGTTAAGATAGAAGAAGACTGTCCTTTTTCCTCATTCCCCATTTTGGCCTTGTGCCTCATTTTCTGTAAATAAGCGAAAGTAAATAAAGCGAGCGAAATAAAGGTTTCAGTTCGACATTCCAACCACCTGAAGAAGGCCGGAGCGTATAAAGGCCGAAATGTTGTGATAAATATGGCAACAAAGATGAGGACAATAGTTCGAATAGTGTAAAACTTCGATTTCGAACATAACACAAAAAGTTAAGCGTTCAGTATTTTTATCAAATTTAAGGGAAAAAGTTAAATCTGTAAGAGGAAAAAAAGGTCGTTTTCCTGTCGCAGGAGTTCCCTTTTGGCCAGATGGGGAGTAAACTGTTCTCATTTTAGATGAGAGTATTCTCTTGGTCCAGGTGATTCTAACCCCGCGGCAGTACCTCCCTCATTGCACAAAGAGAGGTGGGGTCGGTTTAATATCGACGCTGACGTGACAGTGGTCGTGTTGACTAGGTAATCTTTGTCCTTAAACTGTATGTGTATTTATGTGTATGCACCCCCCTCTCATAAAACTGACTTTATGTCATATCTTGTCTTAGTGTGAAGGACGTGTTATTATACCTGGATTTCGAGCTGGGACTAATGTGAAGTATCTGTTCTTTATATCGCTGCATTGTTTCTGTCTTCCCAAGAATTCTAACCCTGTTGCAGCACCTCCCCTATCTCACTAAAAGACGGGAAAAAAGCGAATATCGACCTCAGCGTGACCGTAGATACAGGGAGTCTGGATAGGCCAATATTCTTGTCACACTAAAAACAACCTTGAGTCACATACGGCCGTCTTTACGGGGTCGGTAAGTCCATATCATTCGCATTATTGGCCTTTACACTGGGATCAATGTGTGGTGTCTGTTCTCACTACCAAAATCTCCTCACCAAAGTATTCTCATTCACTTTCACTCTCAGTAACATTTGACATCTTAGTGGCATTATCGCCTTGCTTGGAATTGCTATTAACTCCAAACACCAACCTGAAAACTGTAGTTATGTTCTTCAATAGCCTCATCAGATGGATGTCATGAATGATAACAAAAAAATTCAGAAATACAGAGTTTCTAAAAAAAATTGGCACCATTTCGCAGGCCAATAATTTTTAATTGTATTCGTATCATTTTATTAGACCATATGGCTATCTAGAAGACTCACGTTACACCTATCTGACCCTAGCCTAATTAGGATTCATTAAAAACACAGACGGAAACCTACCAAACACCATCCGCAAAATATTTATAAAAAATAAAAGTATAATAGCCTCATCTACATGTAAAAGAAAAATGACTAAAAGTATTAGAAGCAGTGATAATAAAGAAAAGGCCAAGCCTCAATAACATCAACTATGAACACGGCCACAATATGCTGAACGTGTTTAGAATACAAAACATATAACTCTAGAGAACTACGTAAAAACCCTATAGATTCAGTTAACAATTAAAATAATAAATCATCATTGGCAATGGCTAAACGAATAGCCGAAAGCGCTGAGATATGCAGAACATTTGGACAATGTTTGCCCACTTTATGTTCAGAAAGGAAAACATTTATACGAACACAAGAAAGATTAAATTAAAAAATAAAACTTAATCACAGTAACTTTGTCAATCGTATTTAATGAAACTTGTATAAAAAGATGGATTGCTGCCCAAATACACAATTATATATACAGGGTGTTACAAAAAAAAAAAAATTGACATCATTTCGCAGGCCAATAATTTTGGCAATTCTTGATGAAATAACCTCAAATTTTTACAGAATGTATAGAAACAGATCAAGATTTTATATTTAATGTTTTATTTTTGTTATCTCAATGAGAATCGGGGGTGGTGGAAATGATGACAGTTTTCTGATGAAATGGCCACCGCGGTCACCGGACCTGTCCCCGAGTGATTTCTTTTTATGGGGATATGTGAAGGGACTGGTCTATGTCCCCACCTCTTCCTGCTAGCATTGATGAACTCAAGAAGAGAATCACTTCCGCACTGGATAATGTTACCTAAGGCATGCTACAGCGTGTTTGGCAAGAGCTTAACTACCGAGTTGATGTGTGCTGTGTGACAGGCGGTGCACATATTAAACACTTAAGAAATTGGTCCCAGAATAAACTTATGATGTTCAACACATAAGCTGTTCAATTTCATTGAGTTAGAATTAGCAATTTCCATGACAATTGTTTTTAAAATATCAATTTTAGGGGACACACTGTATATCAACTGACAGGAAATGCAAGATGGTCTGAACTGAATTCAATAAGGAACCTTTCTTCCAAGCGAAGTTGATCTGTGCTGATCCGAATATGTACTAAGAGATACCAAAATAATATTTGCGTTCAGTGTCGTATCAGAACATCAGAGGAGTCAGGTGAATCAGAGGAACTTGAAAGGTCACTTCCTAGTCACCAGGTGCAGATATCAGTGCAAGATATCAGTGCGTTTCTCCGACATGTCAGCAACTGGTCGACACAGCTGCGCTTAGAATGTGCACCCGTGGACCAATCGGCTGGTAGGAAGATCTCTAAGCACTCCACCAAAGAACGAAAAGAACAGATATTTCTCACATTTTTATGTGGAGATACACGTGCGAAGAGAGCCCCAGAGATACACAACCTCACTCTGTTATTATATGACGAAGTCATGAAGCGAATGAGCAATAATTTTAGATATGGCAGTTAGTAATTTTATTACAACGATTGCGTTACATATATTTAACATTCAACGACGCGATTAAATAATTTGCTTCTTGGTCAACGGTAGACGAGATTGCATTTCAAAAAATATCGCCTTGAGAAAAATAAGAATTCTTTTAAAAATAGCTTCGTTATGTTCGTGTGTTATTTTCCTTGAACACCTCATGATGCAAGATAAAGAGCTTCTCCTGGTGTTCAGTACACTCGTAGAAGTGGATCAGATGGGTAAACGCAGACGTCCAAGTTTATCCGGGTTGATTTCGTGCCAAACAAGGTGAACCCGTGCCAGAATACAAACCGCGCCCATCTGTTCAGATTCCCTTTAATAATCTGGAGTCTGCGTGGGATAATGGCTGATTGCCGGCTAAGATAATCTCACTTAATCTCTCGCTTCTAATCTACTGTTGGTAGTATTTAATTCAATTTTCTGAAGAATGTTTTTTATCATAACATACGATCCAACAAATAGAATTATATTGTCTCTTTTAACCAGCAGACGTATTTCCACAGTGGGAAAAAAACTTAAACGCTTTAACGTTTAGCACCGATTTTTCAAGTAAAAGAATCAAGAAAAAATTGGTAAGAAACAAAGAAAATTACTGAACAGTTATCAATATGGCAGCGAATGCTGGACAATTTCCTCAGAGATAAAGAGCAGATTTGAAGCAAGAGAAACAAAGAAAAGACTGCTGAATAGTTACGTAATATCAGTCTTCATATATGGCAGCGAATACTGAACAACCTCCTCACAGATGAAGAAAAGACTTGAAGCAAGAGAAACAAAGAAAAGAGTGCTGAAATGTTATGATGAAGAAGAGAGTTGAAGAAAAGAGTATTGAACTGTCATGTAATATCAGTCCTCCTATATGGCAGCGAATGCTAGACAATTTCCTCACAGATGAAGAAGTGACTTGAAGCAAGAGAACAACGAAAACACTATTTATTGCACTGTGACGTAATATCAGTTCTCCTATATGGCAGTGAATCCTGGAAAATCTTCTCACAGATAAAGAAAAGACTTGAAGTAATAGAAACAAAGAAAAGAGTACTGAACTCTTATGCAATCTCAGCCGTCCTATATGTCAGTGAATGCAAGATAATATCGTGAGAGATGAAGAAGAGACTTGAAGCAAGAAAAACAACAAAAAAAGTGTATTGCACTGTGTCCTAATAGCAGTCCTCCTCTATATCATCGAATATTAGACAATGTCCTCACAAATAAAGAAGAGACTTGAAGCAAGAGAAACAAAGAAATCTGTATTTTACTGTTACGTAATAACAGCCCTCCAACTTGGCAGCGAATGTTGGACAATTTCCTTCGTCAGACATATAATATGTTTATCGATGGTTTAAATGTTATATATATATATATATATATATGCACATATATATTATAATTTTTAAAAATATATTATCATCACAACACCGAAATTCCCATGTTTCAAAACTGAATCTTCAATTCAAATTGAATTATAAAAATTAAGCATAAAATACAAAGTTCCATTCCATTATCAAGCGATGATAAGAATAACATTTTAGAAATTGATTTATAAGTCCAAACAAATTTGAAATTTTGAGATGTTGGGGTTAAGGAAAATTCCATCTTTTTTTTTATATTAGGGGTATCAACATGTAACTTATTTAGAAAACTCATGCATCTAATGTATTGTATCTATCAAGTCTGTCAAATCAAGGTGTTGGCTGGGGTATTGACACAGACTTGCTTTTTTCTTTTTTGCATGCAGAAATTTGTGGTAGATTCTATGTCCCAGAACATCGTCTTTGTTTCAATACATACATACATACATACATACATACATACATATATATATATATATATATATATATATATATATATATATATATATATATAATTATTTA